GGAACACTACCTATCAGAAAACATTTATAAACGAACTAAAAAAAAGAACTGAAGGAGTGAGAAAATCATTTAGCACCCTTTCCCCTGAATAATATGTAAGTATTAAGAGAACATAGCCAGACATAATTTTCTTAATTGGATTTTTCCTTTCCTTTTTTTTAAATTAACTTTTATAGGTCTTTCCTGAAAATATATACAAATTATTTTCTTGCTCAAAAGGAAAGCACTACTTGAAAGTGGGGTTTGACATTTACTTACTAATGAACAAACCCCAGGATGCAGGTTACTTTTGGAGTCCGTGCTAAAATCTTCGTGAGGTACATTAACACTTTTAGGTAACTAGAACATCACTTAGTGCACTAACTAGCTCAGGGGGTCAGGAAACTTTCTGTAAAGGGCCAGAGAGTAAATATTTCAGGCTTTGCAGGCCATAAGGTCTCTGTCACAACTACTCAACTCTCTCATTATAACAAAAACAGCTACAGACAACATGTAAACAAACGAGCATAGTTACGTTCCAATAAAAATTTATTTACAAAAACAAATGGCATGTGAGATTTGGACCATGGGCTACCAACCCTTGCACTAGATAAATCATTATTTGTGGAGAAATCATTTTTGTATCTGTACTCTAGTATCCTAAAAGAGTTTATAAACTTCTAAAATCTCCTAACTTATATCCAAAGAATTGCTTTCTGATTCACGCAGGCTCTCCCATAGATTCATAAACTTTTATGATTTTTATTGCTTCCAGGTGGGCATGTTTTCTTTCCCAGTATAACAGTTCAGAATACCAGCATTTATTTTATCATCTTTTAGGGTGGCTTAGGAGTATCTTTTCTGGACACGGCGAAAGGGGCATATTTAATTCCATCTGATCCAGTACAATCCTAGGAGTCTGAGTCCTAATAATACCTAACTTTATAATCAATTAAATAAATAGAACCACTGAGACAATAATGTATTTTTTTAAAGTGGCAAATGTGGTTTTCTTTTTTCAGCCTTTGTGCTTTTTCAGTATTTTGACCATAGGGAGATAATTTTTTTATAATACAAAAGTAAATTAACCACTGTGAATTTTGAAGATAATGTTGTGTGAGTACACACACACACACACACACACACACACGTATATACCTATGTTTATTTCCTAAAAGAGGAAAAGTACTTCTTTGTTCAACTTGTATTAACTCCTGTTTTCTAATTGCTGTGAAATGGTAACTGTTGGTAAATTACTGTGATTGTTTTAAAATGTAAAGGGAGGATATATTTTGATTTTACCCAGCTTTAATCTGTAAAATATCACTTAAAGATATCTGATAGCAACACTTAAAATATTGCATGGGGATTATTACTTTCCTATCATCCATATACATTTGTGCAACTTTGAACATACTGGGTGCTCCTAAATGCCTGATGATTGGATTTAAACTACTGAAAATCAGAGAACTTTACACTTTAAAACTGAGTTTTAAATTTTTATTTTTATTTTCTACTCTTAAAATTCAATTAATGCCTATAATTTGAAATCTACTGTTTCTTTTTCTCAATATTTGTTCTATTGGAAATTCCTAAAATTACTGGTGCCATCAGTGATTTACGAACAGTATTTTGAAATTGCAGATGATTTGCTCATTGTATTTGCACAATTAGAAAGAAAATAGTTTGTAGACAATGATTCTCTTTTTCAATAAAATGAAATAAAAATTCTAAAAAACAGTAGAGAAAAAAAAAAGTGGCTGTTCAGTATGAATTTGAGCCACCCTCACTGCCACCTCACACTAGTGCTTATCTACTCAGTGTAAAGTGAATGTAAGCGTTTTACTCAATATTTAAGAACTTGTTTAATTTAACACCTCTCCTGGGATTGTCCTTAACAATCATGGTCATGTTCATCTTATTTATCTTTTTATTTTTCAGATACCAATTGTATTTTTAGTCTTCAAAGCTAATTTCTATAGTCAGCTTGGTCATGCTCAGAGACAGCAGTGACCAAAGCAGCACAGACTTGGACCCAGGACCATTCCTGCCTGGGCTCTGGCTGCTCCTATTTCAGTTTGGGCCAATCCCTTCTCTTCGGTGGCCTTGACTTCCCCATCTGCAAATGAAGGATGTGGAATGGCAAGAGACCTTCCAACTGACAGTGACCATGACCTTCAGTCACTAAGAACTCTTATTCCTCACAGGCTCTAAGTTCAGAGATGTACGTGCCCGTTTCTGTACCCAAAGATACAGGAATAGGGAAGGGCTCTTTTACCGCAGTCTGACTCACCTTGCCAAGGTACTAGGCTGAACACAGCAGGCAAGGTTTTGAAAGTGAGCCCTTTGGCTTAAAAAACAAGAGTATATTCACTGAACCTACAAACTGGTAAAAAATTTAAGAAAAAGAAACTTAGAGATAGTAAAAATAACTCCAAGAAAGTTAAAAAAAAAAAAAATTTTCTTCAATGCTATACAAGCCAAAAAAGTAGCTCTTAAAGTGAAGAGAAAATTAATCAAGTTAAGGGAATCAAAGAGCTAAGTAGTCTAAAAGGCTTAACTTCAAACAGTATCAATTTTGTTTTTAAACTGAAAAAAGACACTCTCATTCATGGTTTTGCTCCTTCCACAAACATTTATTGACACCTACAACAGGCAAAAAAATGAGTTTATTTCAAGTGTGGATACTCAACCCTAAATGGAAGT